ATCTAGATTAGGAAGTCTGTTAGTTGAATTATTGTGGTCGGTATATGGTCATCAAGTCTTTATATTTGTCCAACATAGTTTCCTTGCCTGCTATTATTGTTTCAAAAGTTCAACTAACCTTTTGCCCCAGGCTGTAGTATCAGATGACTTCTGCTTTCTGGGACGTATAATACAACTCATGAGCTTTTATATGTGCGCATATTTTAGCGCAATATAGTAGTAGCAATATTCTATTAGTGATTTTTGGTTCACTGGCAATCTGTTTTTTGCGATAACTATACATAAAATGCCATTTTAGAGCGGTTACCATAGACCACAATGAAAACACATTTACTCGATAAAAACCTTTTTGTAATTCAACACAACAATGAATACCTTGTAAGCCACTATTATTTTTTAACATATATCACAGAACAAAATTTCGAGATATGGAAACATTGGTAAAATACCCTAAAACAGACAAAATATGCTATTTACACTCCATTTAGTACATCAATTTTCTCCGAACCGAGTACGGTGACTCCATATTTTATTCACTAAAATATAAAATATGTAAGAATGAAGAACATGACAACACATTTACTTTTATGTAGCATTCTACCTTTATTATGATAGTTTTCGGTTAGTGAACTGCCGATTCTATATGAGAGGAGTGTCTTATGTAATGTATTATCGTGTTTTCATCTGGTATGTACTCAACACTGCAAACAGACATTCAAACTCATTATCGCCATAATCACTAATGTTGCGACAAGGTCTATCTGAATTTAGCCAGCAGTTTCATAATATGTTTTCACCTCCACTCATCATTCCCGTGTCCCCCAATAAAAGATGTTTATGTGATAAACCGCTTTTGACCACTGTTCGCAAATTGTGCCATAGCAACCCGATCACTGGAATACACAATATGTTTTATCACATGCTACGTATTGTAAAAGGTGGGACACAAGACACATTCCAATTTATGCTTCTATAGCTTGTGTAAAATAGTATTAATATCAGATTTAGGGCCACTTCAGTAGTAAAAATTTCATCTGCAAGCATACCCACATGTACAGTGATGACATCATCACAGTCATCCATGGCAAAAGATTCTTGATGGATCACCAACTGCATGTCATTTATAGTGTGAATGTGTGTAAGTGGCATAGCTATAGCTGCGTTCCATTACAGTCTACACCATAACACTATTGTGTAAACCATCACATCGATGTCATACGTTGTGCAGCTTCCTTCATGGAAGTTTAGTCCACGTCTTCACACATAAATAGTTCATCTCTTTAATAGTAATAACAGTTCCAAACATCATACCAGTGATCCCCCAGAACTTATCACCCCATGGTATTCAGACAGTATGATGTTTCTTTTATGACAAATTATATAATAAAACATTGTGTTTTAAAATGTTCAATTCAGGTCAGTCAAAATACAAACATATTGATTCATTACAGGTAATATTAAAACGTTTGCAGTAGCCACTTATAACAATCATACTTTAATCGATGTCAAATCAATTCTTGACCAATTTAATCCTGAAAAAGACGTAATATGTACAACATTGTCTGGGGGAAACAAGATTCCAGAAATTAAACTTTGGAAGGTTGGTATTAATTCTCGTGGTTAAGTTAAATAAATCAGTGTCAATAAATGCTGCTTTAACAACTTATGCACCATTATTCATTCCCTGAAAATGCTGACTGAAAAATGTTTTATTAGTCGGAATAGGCAAAAATAATATCAAATGTTTCATCAGCATAAGCGTGTTCAGGTGTTGTATAGCTTGTTATTGTGGAATGTTATTACATGTAAGGAAGTCAGAATCAGGGAGAAATTTTTAAGTAGTTTTTCCCATATATTGCTACCTTAAGTAAACCTTTGAAGATTAACAACAACTCAAGTATAGATTTGAACTAAATTAGACTTTGAAAAATTTGTAATATAGTGTTTACAGAAGTGAATTTCGCCTTCACGTGTTGTTTAAGTTCAAGTGCTTACATAACTCAATTACATCTGTGGCAGAATGTAATACTAATTCAAATGTTCGCAGAAGTGATTTATTTGAATTTTCAAAGGTTTGTTATTGTTTAGAAAGATAGTAATACAGTTCTAATATTCACAAAAATGAATTGACTTCCAATGTTCAAATGTTGGTAAAAGTTCCCTTGGACCCCTCGCCCATAATTCTAATCCCCCCCCCCCAGGGTCACTTAATCATTTGGAGGGGCATATTGAATTACATTCGGGGCTGGAGCCTTGGGGTTAGGGTTCAAGTTAGGCGTAAGAGGGCCTTGCCTTAAGGAACTCTTTCCAAAATGATTAAATATAATTAAATTAACCTTTGGGAAGATATTAGTTATGCTTACACAAGTGAATAGACTATGTAAAGGTCTGTAATAGATCAACTATTTACACAATTTGGAAGGATATTAATAGATCAAATGTTTACAGAATTGATCAAGTGATCACAGGAATGAATTGACTTTTCAAATGTTCACAGAAGTGGTCTTTCTTTTCAAAGAAAAATGATAGTTCAGGAGGTATTTACAGAAGTGAAGTATTAATCTTCAGAGAGATAGTATTAGCTAAAATGCTTACATAAGTGAATTGAATTTTCAAAGGTAATAATTGTGTTTACATCAGTGACCAATAAACATTAAATTGAAATTAATAGTATACTGGTTTTTTTTGCATGAAACGTTTTATAAGTTTATGGGCAATGAAGCAATTGAATAATATAACAATAACCGCTTTGTGTCCTCTCTATCATAAAATAAGATGGTAAAATAGATACACATTATTAATAATAGGAACATTGAATACTTCTGTCAAATTAATGAATGAGTACAACATCTAACAATACTTTTTTTAGGATCGAATGCTTCCCGTGAATAAATATATTAACCCAGAATGGCTTGAACAGACGCCGGGCAGCTTTGCAGTAATAATTGGTCTAGAATTTAAACATGTTCAAACGGAGGAAATATCTGGATGGCTTTGTTCAATTAATCCTCATCTGATAGGCATTGTGAATACGACACTGGAAGTCATTCCTACTGGTATGTAACAATCAATACCTATACATTGCGTATTAACACCACACTGCTAGTGCGTGCGTGCGTGCGTGGGTGGGTGCGTGCGTGCGTGCGTGAGTGAGTGTGTGAAATAACGTTTTATAATATTCTTCTTTACAGGTTGTGAATTAAACAGGTATGGTGGACAATGCCAATTTCAGTGTGTCTGTGAAAATGGTGCCACGTGTCATCCGTTTAATGGAGCATGTCAATGTGCTCCAGGATGGATATCACCAGATTGCACCATAAGTAAGTATATATTGCCATCATTGTTAAATGATTAGTATAAGTATACACTGCCATCATTGTTAAATCATCAGTATAAGTATATACTGCCATCATTGTTAAATCATTAGTATAAGTAGAGAC